AATGACACTTTTACGCCTGCCGTTTTGAGCGTTAGTGTGCTCGATCACATTGGCACCCTTTATTTAGTCACGAGGTGCTAAACGTCAACAAAAAACACGAGTTAAAAGTTTTCCGGTGTGAACTGGCCTTAAGGCATTTAAACTGATTTAAAGACAGAATTACAAAAAGCAAACCCCCCCCAAAAAAGCTGAACAATCGAAACCAGAACAAATAAAAATTATTTAATAGCATATAACTCCTATTTTAATTTTAAAAACACAAATTCTACTTAGCACATGGATGCACATGGATAAGTAATAGAATTAGTATTTAAGCTATCAAATCACTCGGTAAGTTCTCATTCACAATAGTGACACTGTGTTTCCCATACATTGTCATTTTAATTTAAAGTAATGATTGTGAGCGCAGGGCTGCTTTGTTTACAGTCGTTGCTAGGAAATAATTTCTGCAGCTTCAAATGCATCTTTTGCTGTCACAGAATATCTTCTTATCTACTGTTTTCATTCAGAAAACACACACATAAGGGAAAACCATCGCTAGTAGGAAATACTCAATACAAAATTTTAGAGACATTTAATATTTGGTTCAACATGTGCTGGATTTGTCATTTCTTGATGATACAATGTGCATTGTAAACATCACATGATGTTTGGTAATGAAACAACAAGTAGACCGGCCTATTAGGCACACACATCACGTTAAGATTTTGTCTGGGAGTCAATGCACTTTGTCATCACAAACATGCCACTGTTAGTGATTCATAGTTGGTCAGCCCTTGGGGGCCACTTCTGGCCTGGGACCCCAAGCAATCGCATGCCTTGCTTGTTGACTGATTTCACAAAACATGTGCTATGCTAAAAGTGTTTAAGCTTCTAACCTTTTGCACGAGGAAACAAGTGAAAATCAGATTAATAATGTGGCCTGTTAAAAGCTATATATGTTAAAAGCTTGGTGTTTTACTGCCTCTACTGTTTATTTAAACCAGACAACTAGTGAATTATAGATGCATATTATTTCCATACTTGATTCCAAACACTAAAGTGATCTAGACAAGTCTCAACCCATCCCATGCAGGCCACTGATATAACAGGATTGTTTAGAATCATTTTACATAAAAAAGCGCTATTCATTTCTTCATAGGTAGAAGTTTTAATGTGGATAAAATTGCAGAGTGCACCTTGAACTCAAAGCTTCCGTCTCCATCAGTGTTTTGGCAGTAAACAATGACTCATAAGGTCCTCATTTTAGACTCATCTGTTGTAACAGTTTTCTTCATCATTTTTTGCTGTTATGAAGATGCTTTCAGTCGGAGCAATGACAGCCAGTGTTGGATCTCCTTCAGTTTTTGGCAGAGTGCAACAGACATATTGTCTCCAGAGACACATCAAGACTCCTGCAGGGTCATTACCTTTACATGCTGAGAATACATAACGCGTAACATGTCAAAATCTAAGACCTTCAGAAGCCTGCGAGAAAGTTTTTATGGGGAGAGAGTTGGGTGGGGGTGTAGACCATGACCTATATATGCCAAAACAACTCACAGAACATGATCACTCAATGATCAGGATAAAACAGATGTTCAGAACTCCATATTCAAAGTGAGAAAGGAATATCCAGTCAATGTTTGAGACATAATCAGACTTCAGCTTTTCACCTAAATGAGTTTAATAACTCATGAAGTCAGAATCATGCTTGTTTGACAGAGATTTATGGCATTACACGTTCCTTTGTGAAGTCAGACTCCATGTCTAACATTAATGATTAGATCTGACTTTAAGGCAGTGATAACAGACAACATTTCTATTTGCATTCTTTGTTCATTTGCTCCAAGCAATGGGATTTTGCCTGATGCATTCCTGCGTACAACAAAGCACCAACCTGCATGCAATGAATGCTAACAAAACTGAAATTCTCATTTACCCAATTTGTATCTACACTCTAAAAAAGGGTTCTTTAAAGCATCTTTGCACATAATAATTATATTTTGGCCTCCACAAACAAGTGTAGCTAAGCAAATCTCTACCTAAACAAATACCTTCAAACTCCTTTGTATAAGGATGCTGTGAAATTTTATACCATCTGCAGATAGAAAATTCCACTCAATTTTATCAAACTTCACCCATAACGATAGAATGTTTAAGGTGTACTGTTTTTGTTCTTGTGTGTTTTTATTATGTGCTTATTTGTGTTCAATATCAATTGACATTTATTGATAATTTATTGATTTATTTTCTGCAAATAACACTTGTACAAGTACTGTCATTTTTATTACATGTTCAAATCTATGAAAAATAATAATACAATTACCTAACCTGGAACATGCTGTGTATTAGTAGAGTATTTCTAATATTGATAAAATAAATACTCTTATTACAAATATTAATCCTAATGTTTATAAAAGTATTATTTAAAAAAAATTAAGGTCCTTTTTTAAAAATGTTAAGAAGTTTTTTTTGTAACACTGAAACCTAAATGTATAGCTTACCTGATTTCAACAGTAAGTGCTTTTACTGGCAGAGTAGTTTGACTAGTCCTCGTTTGCTTTTGACCTCTTAATGCTAATTCTTTACATCAAAAAAAGTCAACAGGTTTATCTTTTAACATCGGATGCTTTGTTTGTAAGCAACGCACCAGTTTCACAAGTTTTAAACTGTCATTTGCAGGGGACTCTGGACATACAACACACTGTGGACATGGTTCATTATTAATAGTGATGCATGTAAATCTTTATGTTATATACGTTGACATGGACGGTTGGTCATCATCAGTTTGCTGTAATGCTTTGAAAGGGCACTTGTCTTCTTTTTTGTCAGTGAGTTAGCCATTTCTTTTTTTTTTCTTTTTTTTTTATACATTAAATCATTTTCCAGAACTAAAGAGTCAGTGACAGCAGCAGTTATTAAAAAAAAAATAAATAAAAAAATAATATTAACACCAAAAAGTAACACTACCAGTAATTAAAAACAAGTTACAAAAAAACACACACATTATTTTTAAACTTCAGAGGATACAGCTGGGAATACTATGTCCTGTTGCCATGTTCATAAACACAGTAACAGGTGCTCATCTTTGTTTAAAAATATCCCATTTTAATTGAAGTTGAGCAGTCATATATTCCATTCTATATATTGATTTAAGTTTTTCTGTCCAGTGTGCTATTGTTGGAGGGTGTGGCCTCATTCAATTTATTGTTATAGTCTTTCTTGACCTATGTAAAAGTATATGTAGTACATATTATTTACATTATGTACATCATAGGGTATCCCTTTAAGCAAGAAAAACAGGGAATTAAAAGATAGCTCTAACTGCATAATTTTCATTATCTCCACCCCTTGCCAAAATGCCAGTAACTTCTGACATTCCCAAAATATATGTGTGTGATTACCTACATTTCTGTGACCCCTCCAGCATTCCTCTGACTGTGGACTTTTTACATATTTTGACACCATCAATGGTGTTCTAAAAAACTCATTTTTGTTTTCCAGTCATACTCTTTCCAGTTATGGCTGTTGATCCCCTTATGAGATTCTAAACATAGGTTTTCCCAAATCTCATCCTAAATTTTTTCCGATTCCCACTTAAGTGTTATTATCTGTTGAATCCAGTATTAGTCTATTAAATACATAAAAGACACATGTCTTTTATGCTGTCCTTTTGTTTTTATTTCAATAAAATACTGTTTGGCTTGCCAGTTTTACCTTCATTCATTTAAAAAAAGGCACAGGTCCATTTTTGCATATATTTTAATCAATCACATCAACTCTACAACAGGTCGCTAGCTATGGGACTAATCAGGTTCCTGCGCCCTACATAATAGGTGTTGTAACAGGTTGTAAACTTTTGCTCTTTAGCACTTTCCAAGCACGGGTCTTTATTCATTCATTTATTCATTCATTCATTTTTTTTTTGGCTTAGTCGCTTTATTAATCAGAGGGTCGCCACAGCGAAATGAACTGGCAACTTATCCAGCATAAGTTTCATGCAGCAGATCCCCTTCCAGCTGCACTGGGAAACACCAATACACTCTCCTTCACACACATACACTACGGACAATTTAGCCTACCAAATTCACCTATACATGATGTATTTGGACTGTGGGGAAAACCGAAGTATCCAGAGGAAACCCACGTGAACAGGAGGAGAACATTGACACTCCACACAGAAATGCCAACTGACCCAGACGAGGCTTGAACCAGCGACCATCTTGCTACACACTGCACTACATATGGGTCTTTATGAAACCATATAAAAAGAAATAGCATCAAAATCATTCTTCTATTGTTACAAGCTAAAAAAAATTTATTGGTACTAAGAGTATCAAAAGAGATCTAATGAGAAACTATTTAAAACAGTAGCATCTTATGTAAACATTCAAAGCAGCAGTGCGGTTAATAAATCAGTGTGTAAACTAGACTTAATGTTGATTTAATGACATGGTTAAGTGCAGTAACAATGCTCTTTAGTATTGTGTATAATTGTTGTTGTACAACTCCTCTTTAGCTATTCTAAATACAAATATTACAACCACTAGCTCAAGTGGCCATTTATGTCTTCATACAGCAAGAACATTTTTTATCAAGGTGTGTCCTTGGAGGACAAATAAGCCTAAATGAAACGTGCAGCTTCCTCAAATTAACCAAATGAATAAAAAGAATGTGATTTCCAACATCAAAAGCAAAGTATTCACAAACTCTATACACACTCTAAAACTTTTTTTCCTATTAGATTTTTTATCTGTCTCTCTTTAAGCATAACAAGTGGATTATGTAAATTAAACAAGCTATGAAAAGTCCATAATTTGTACATTTATGCGTGGAGGTCAACTGTTATTTTATAACATTCTTGAAGAACAGACATTTGAATGGGGTGTCTTTTAAAAAGAATTTAAAAAGTTGTTTTGCTCTTAACATTTAAAAAAAAGTTGTTGTTTTGTTAAGTAATGCAAATACTTGAACAAGAAATATGAACACAGAACAGCTGTGTCAGTGTACAGTCTTACCTAGTCTCTCCTTGATTTATGAGCATGTACATTTCCCAAGAGGTGTCATCAGCAATCGCCCCGTGAGGAACCAGCAAGCTCACTCCTAGAAAACCAACACCATTACTGACACACCAATTATATGCAGCTACACAACACATTTATTCCTATAATACATGCAATTATTGCCAAAACGAGCATTTAATAACGAAGTAATATGTATTTTTGGGCAGCAGACAAATACTCTTCTTTACCAATTTATCCCAGTCTTGTCTAAAAAATAATAAATATGTTAATAAATTGAATAGTCCAACCCTTACTCTTAAGACCAACCATAGCCAACCTTTTTTTACCACTAAAATCTGAAAATAAATAAATAAATAAATAAAAATACAAGCCAGTATCCCATGTTGCAAGTCTGAAAGTTGTTAAAATATCCCTCAAATCTGATTGGTTGATTGTAATGTTGTTCCAAGATTAACAAAGATGTTGATTCAGGAACATTCTCTATTCAGAGAAATGAGGTTTACAATTGGAATAACTGTACTTATGTTTTGTAGTCTCCTTATACTTCCTCATGGCACTCATAAATAATAGGACTTGTGCTTTTTTTGTAAAATATTAAAATCTCATTCTGTGTAGTTGGCCTGAATATGATGTGGGACAAAATGTTTTTCTTTGGCCTTAAAGACTCTTCAACACAAGGACCCCAGAGAGTGGGTTCAGTGCATTGTTGACCTTTACATGCATCAGCCAAAAGAGAACATTTGTTTTTAGAGCGCTTATTAGATGCAAACAGATGATTAGAGAAAACAAATCTTTCACATACTGTTCAGTCGCCAAAAGCACTGTTTGTGGGTTTGAAAGTAAGTGATGGGGAATCCATTATTAGGTGTACTCAATTTAAACAAATTGCTAAGAATATGATTGACTATAACTGGCCTCTAGTCTAAAGGAAAGGTTTATGCTTTTACTCACCATTTACTCACTCTCCACTTGTTAAAAACCTGTTAGAGCTTGTATCAAACTCAATGCCCATGGGCCAAATACCATGTCATTTTATGTGGCCCGTGAAAGCATATGATTCACAGCAAATGTGTATTAGTATTCATGCGAGTAGATTGCATACAAAGTCACTGCAAATGATGTTACGGTGTAATGATTGTGAATCCAGCAATATAATAAAAGTCCATCTTGCTTTACAGTATCTCATATATTGACTAAACAAACTTTTCCATAATGTATGTTTAAAACTGAGTTCCATAGTTTTGCTTTTCTCAAATCTGACAACTTTTTGAAGAAAGGTAATTGGCTTCGGATGATATTTGTCTTTGTTATTGACTTTTGGAGTAATGTGGGTTTTTTAAACTGATAAATGTTAACCTATATTCATGTTGAAATAACCCAAAGAAGTAATATTTACTTTATATTTATGTGAATGCATGTATTTATGTGTTACTGTAATATGCTGTAATTGTAACAGAATGTTAAGAAGTAGTTACGGTTATAAATGGCCTTTTGAGGGCTGCCATAATTCCATAACACCCTTGTTTTAGAGCTTCATTCATCCCAACACAAAAGAAGATTTCAAAAAAAGTTTGAAAAATGTCGTAAGCCCATGGCCATTTTCAAAAAAAGCAGGAAAAATACAAATCAAAAAAATCAATGGCTACCAGTTTTCAATATTCCTCAAGACATCTTTTGTGTTGAACAGAAAAATTAAACTCTAACAGCTTTATAAGTAAAGCATGAGTAAATGATGACTAATTAATTTTGGCCTGTAAATCCCTTTAAAAGGCTTGATGTACAGTGAAAGAATGCATTTTTGTGATGTCATTTTGAATAAAATCATGTTCAAACAAAATTCATTATAAAAACAGCTTGACAAAGTGAACTTTCTGGTAAACACATTTCAACTCCTATTAGTGTAGGGAAGTGTGGCTCTGAGGTACTTTGATCTTATTTAATTTTTTACACCCATTTTGGGAGCAAAAACATAAAATGTATTGCATTACATTTACTGTATTAACTGAAGTGTAATTTTTATTAAACACTGACACTTTACATGTTTAAAATCATAAATATATTTTATTTAAAGAAATTCCAGAAATTGCTACTGATTGCGAGTAGTGAATTGCAAAAAATGTATCGCTAAAATCTAGGAGTGTGACGAGACGCTTACTCCACAAGACGAGAAGAGACACAAGATTGGGTTCACGAGACGAGACAACAAGATTTTTACAGTATGTTTAAGAAATCTTTAATGATGAAATACATGGATTTAAAATATTTTATTCAAAGGAAAAAAACAAATCACAAATTGGAAAACTTTTTAGGTGCTTTTTTAAAATTAACTTGTAATGAATGTTATTTTAATGGAATCTATGCAGTAAAGGACATGCAAACACTGCTAATTTTTTTGCTAATAAATGAATGGAAAATAGATTTTTATCCAACTGAAGAAAAATCCCAAAATGCGAAACAATTTAGGTGCTTTATTTAAATCAACTTGTAATCATGTAATCATGTCATTTTTGCTTTTTAATTTTTCAATGGTTTTACTTTCATTCAGTAACAGCTTCCATTTTTTTCCAGACAGCATAAACGTGTTCGCTGATGATGATAATGACAACGAGGGCTGTATGTGTCTTCAGGAGTTTACTGTGTGTGTGTGTGCGCACACTCGGAGGAGATGTGTGTTTGTGGTCCTTTACTGACTGGATGGTTGCAGAGGTGTCAAACAGTGTGTATAGCTTATCTTGGCACAAAATGCAGCTAAAAGTCCTAAACAACAGTAATAGTTTGATCATGGTGTTTACATGTCTGTACCTTACTTCAATAATGTGACTGAAATAAGAATACTACACGTCTTAATTTATTTAGTGTTTATGACGATTATGGCTTGAAGCATACACTGTAAAAAATGGCTGTGATTTCAATGGTAAAAAAACAGTAAAAATAATATAGTAAAAATCTGTAACCTGGTTAACAGTACGTTTCCTTAGTATATATGGCAAATAACCGTAAGCTGACATTCCCAGAATTTACCGCATGGCACATCACTTTTTATGCTTTTTGTTGACATTAATATGAACCTTTTTAGTTGTTTCCCCATCAGTTATGTACATTAGAGAATTATGTTACCTCTAATGTTGATAAACAATGTTTATTTCATGACTTTAATTTTATGCGTTTTACCATACTGGTGTTTAGTGGCTGTGTGAATGACACTGAGCACCTTCTATACACTGATTCACTTTTCTGCTTGTGGGTAAAGTTGTTTGTGATGATCATTGGCTCATTATGTAACTTCCTCATCACCACCTGCATATGGCTGTGTTATCGTGTCTATCTGTGTAAAAAGAGATGTGTAGATGTTGGTAACTAAAAGTACAGACATATTACATCTATAAATTAAGGAAATACGGTAGTTTACTGTAAAAATGAGAAATTACTTTATGGCTTGGACTGTATTTTTAACGGTAAAATACTGGCAAGCACAGCTGCCTTATTTGCTGTAAATTTTACATATTTATTTTTCACAGTCTATCTAAAGAGCTATCCCATCGAACTTTATGAGCAATGGTTAATGCATGTGGCTGCAGTTGTTGCAGTCTCTGCTTTCGGACGTTGCAACTCTTGAACTCAGGTGAAGCAAAAATAGGTTATGTCACACTCACCCGGCCTAAATGAGTGACACACAACTCCAAGGCCAGACTGTCAGATGTGTGCAAAGCACTTGATGTGCGGTTCTAATCAAATTCTGCCTCCGATCTTTATTGCTTAATTCACCCTCATGCTTCATCATATCTCACAACTCATGAGACAACTTTTCACCTCAACGAGAAATTTCATGACAATTTAGTCTTGCGAAATCTCATAGCACGAGATCTTGTCACATGCATACTGAATTTACATGTATTCTAAACTTCCATTTTCTCATCATTGTAACTTCAGTTGTACATTTATTTTATCATCATATTTCATGTATTTGTATTCATCCAAGCACTTTTTGAGCAGATGGCATCAGGACAATCACTGGTACACCAAACTACTTTTTGCCCTTTAGCAGAAAACAAAGATGAATGAATAAAAAACTCCAAGTATATTGAAGCCTTAAGGTTACTTCCCATCATGATTGTCATTTCATAAAAAATAATGTAAGCTGTATCTTTTACAAACCCATACTCTCTCTCACCTGCATTTGGAATGACTAATCGGCCACCCAGGTGTCCAAACACAGCGCTTGTCTTCAGCTGAATCTTCCCGGGGGTGTGAAGTCCATTGGGAGCCATTGTGGCCGTCTTCTTTCCTTCTACCATGCTGTAGTTTGGGTGAAGGTTTGCAGGGAGGGTTTGTGGATGAGCTTTTACATGGTACTCGGCCCGGTCTGCCACACCTAGTGAAACCATAAAGGAGCTTTGAACTTTGACCTTGTCGGGCAAGGGGTCAAAGAGCTCTTTGTCGATGGAGTCCTGAAAGCAGATTGGGCTGCTGTAGGTCTGGCCGACGGTTATATCAGGCTGCATGGAGGAATTCAGTAGAAGTGGATTGCCTGGGGAGATGAAAAGACAGCCTGTGATATTTTTGGAGTTTTTTATAGGATTTGTTGATACAGGTGAAAAGAAAAAAAAAATGTGGTTAGATAAGGTCCTGACATGCCAACTCCAGTGCGGCAGACCATGGTCTGAAAATCAAGGCGTGCAAATAGAAAAGTATTAAATATTTCATTTGCTGTTTTGGCTAAAATATTCATTCTAAGAGTGCTGGGAAAGAGAAAAACGTCTTATCTTGGGGAAAAATACAAAAGCGAAAAGGAGAATTTTCAGTATGTGAGAAAAGTAAATGCTCTAGCTCCAGCTAAATTATTTATGTTGATTTTCTTTAATTCTTAACCTCTTAGCCAACCCAGGCTCAAGCAGAATATGTCTCTGACAGCTTTTCTTTCTGTACCATTGCCTTCTGCATGTTTTATAGCAGTTTTAAAATGATTTTTGCTGAAAAAGCTCATTTTTATAAACAGATAAACATCCATAGCTATGTTTCCATCCCCATATTTAAAAAAAACGGTTGATCAAAACGCCATTATATGCATACATTTTGAAAATGTGCATAAAAAAACATGCGCATAACTGAGTAGGATAAACTTTTTATTCGATAAGAAAAGATAGGCATAAACTACGACTGAAACACTTTAACCGTACAAATTCCAGTATGCGCATTAAAAAAGGTCATGTGATTTTGTTATAAGAGATCATGTGATCATAAAAATGTATATAAATGGAAACCAGCAAGCTGAGCACTTTGTACAACATCTGAAATGTTGTTTTGATTATTCTTAAACGCCTACCGATTAAGCATTAGTGTTGTTATATTATTAAATGAACTCCAGAACTGTCAAGAGCGTATGTGCTCCACATCTCACATCTTCCAATGCCACCGCGGTTCACTGCATGTCAGGATTGCCTTCTGAGGTGCAAGTCATTTATTAAATGAAGAAAAGATTTAAGCAGCTTCTCCTACTGCAGCAAATTGCATTTGTACTGTTGATATTCAGTGCCAGATAATCAGGAAGTGACGATTTTGTTCGCTTTGACTCGTTGGATGGAAACGCTGCTTTCTTTGCACATCTTTTATAATCCAGTTTTGAGCATAAAGTTCATTTGCATTTTTGGATGGAAACATTGCTACTGTTGCAATATTTTTTCTTTACACTGGTTGATTCATAAATCATGGCATCGCCATTCAAGTTCTCATCATACTTTAAAATAACCCATCACCTATACTAAACATTACCCTTAACCTACTAGTAAAATAAAAAATGACATATTATATATTAACATACATAATATGTTCTGTTTTGGGGTGTAAATGTTCTAAAAATTTTCTGTTTTGGGGTGTATCAATAAATAAGTCAGCTCCAGTTTATTACCTTAAACAAGTACCACACATCATATTATTTGAAGTTTTCTATATTGCATTTCTTAGTGTGCTTGTTCTTCATAGCTTCAATTCAACAAGCTGCTGGAAACATTGCTCAGATAATTTAATCTATATTGGCAGGAGAAACTTTCAGATTTTCTGCAGATTAGTTGGATGCACATCTATAATGCAAATCTCCTGTACCATTGCATCACAAAGATGCTCTATTGGACTAACATCTGGTGACTTTGAAGGTTATTTGAGTGTTGTAAACTCAAGAAACCCGATTGAGATCACTTGAGCTTTGTGACATTATTATCTGCTGAAGGTTGCCATCAAAAAGTTCTAAGCTGACAGGAATCACTAATGTGGTCTTTGCTGCTGTAGCTCATCTGCTTCAAGGTTTGACATGTTGTGTGTTTAAAGGCTTAAATGCATACCTCATTTATAATGAGGGGTTATTTAATTTACTGTTTAACTGTCTTTCTATCATCTTCAGTCAATCTGGCCATTGTTCTCTGACCTTTTCAATTTTTAAACTATTATCTGAGCTTGTTGACATGCTGTATAGCTAATTTGGCTTAAGTTACCATTGGGCGATCAGCAGGCCCTTTTGAGCAAGAACCCTGAGTTTATTCAAACTTTTTTTAAGCTTGTTTTTGATGACAAAATTTTGAATCTGAGCTTGACTGATTACAGAATGTCTGAAAAGTAATATACTATAATCTGGTTATTTTCTGTTGGCATCTTTACAAATCATGGTGAAAGGGTTTTAAACAACAGAAGTCTTCATTCATTCAATTAATTCCTAAATGAAGGTTTGTGAAGCCCTGGAGTCAATAAAGGATTGAGAAACTAAAAACTAAGTTGGATTTAAAACTAAAACACATATAAATAAGGCTTCAAATGCAGTTTCAATGATGTGAAATGTCAATTTGCTGTCAACATAACTACACAATATGTATTGCGTAGGTAATAAACAAATATACACCAATGACATTTGAACACTACCCAACACAAGACAACCATGCATATTGAAATGTGTAATTGAATAATAGTTATTCGGGATGTCATGATCAGGTTTTTTGCTCTTGAGTCAGAGTCCGAGTCATTTGATTTTGAGTATCTACAGATACAGAAACCCCATCCGATACTTCTATAATACATAAAGAAGGTAGCTTGAACAATCAAGTAATAAATAACATAAATTCTTCACTTTTGGACTTTAGTGCGACAGTAAATACAAAAAAAGATCTAATATAAAAACAAATAGCGCCTCAACTTAAAATACCTGGCAGGCAATCCCAAGTTTGCATATCTCGCAGATTTCTACAGTATGGCAATGTTGTCATCATCAACTTTATAATACCTCCAGACAACAAACATACTCACGCTTTCCGCTTGCTTCTGTGTTTTACTTTGCGGCATTTAACCAATAGCACCTCTACCATTAAGTGATAATATAGATATGTTATAAAATAATGAAAAAATATACTGTATAAACATATATATTTGAGTCCTGATTGGGAGGTAACATCCGATTCTAATCGAGTCTGATCATGTAATCGGATCTAGACATCCCTAATAATTATTGAATTGCTAACTATAAGTGAAGACAAAATCTCCAACGATTTTACTTTACGTAAACTGACCTGTGCAGTGATGTACTGTTTTTAAATGTCTTCATCATCAATAATACAGTAGAGTACAGACCATTTTAGCATCCAGATTAGTTGCTACTGTACCATGTTATTCTACTCATAGTCAGAGTAGATTGGCAACAGTTGCTTTCACGCACTGACTCATGTTAACAGTCACATCCTTAAACATCCTGTCAACACTTATTAGCGCGGTTAGCACAACTTCAACAGTGACATCATTTGGAGTTTGCCCTTTGCCATAAAACGAATTCATCTAGTTACTCAAGCCGACACAGATATATGAGGCATGTCTAAGTGACCTTTTTGTTTTCCAAGTTCTTAAATCTGCCACCTCCCAGCTTGGGCTCAGAACAGCTCTTGGAAGGGGGTCTTCATCCCTCGCTGTTGCTCTCTCACCTTTTCTAGTCCGAGGCAAACTCACACGGTCACTGAGCCCCCGCGATTCATCCTGGTGCCAAAGTAGCTCTAACATTTGAGTCACTTAGTCCTTGCTGGCCAGCTGCTGCACAGTGAGGGGTGGGAGGCAGGAGGCTAATGGGTCTTTATTTTTAGGAAAATCGTTAATTACCCCAGGCTGGGCTGATTGGTGTCAGGCGTTTGGGATATTTCTAGTTGCCACGATTGGGCAGGTCAAGGTTCTGCTACAGGGTGATGACAGGTTTGTGTTATAAATTCGAGCAGTCCCGTAAAGTTTTCAGGTGTCAGATTGGAACTAATTATGGTGGGAAATGGTGAAATTTAGGAAACATGCTACTGCATTAGCAAAAATGTTGACTAAGACTTTAAAGGGTAAGATCACCCCAAAATCATACCCGTGTCATCATTTTGTACACCCGTGTGTTGCATCAAAACTTTATGACCTCCTTTGGCACAAAAGAATATTTATTTCAACTGGTATTGTCCATAGAGTCAAATATGTTTTGAGAAATACAGATGTGGCTACTGAGAATGTGTGAGTGAATGAACGTGACCACACCCGATGCTGCAGTACTGCACAGTACAGCACATAATAGTCTAACACAAGAAAGACATGACCAGCAGGGGGCACTTATGTAAAATACTGTACTGATATACTTTAGCAGCCAGAGCATGTGAGCAGAGCTAAGCAGTTTGATGATCTGCAAAGCATTCCCTAACGACAAGCACTTCGTTAACATACCGCTCACCCATGCCGGTGAACCAATACAACTCAGATCCTGCTCTGACATAAAATTTCTGTAGTAGGCTAACCCTATTTTTTTTGTACCAAAAAACCTTAAATAACTGTCTAAAATTAAAGCATGTTGATAAAATATGTTTCTGTTTCAAAGCGGCAATCGAAAATGACGAAGATGACTAAGGTAAGAAACTTTGGTCATTTATAATAAGTTAGGAATCGTCTGATTGGTGAATTGTACGTTAGCTATTGCGGGAGCAGCTGTGTCAGTCACAAGCATGTGATCCTCTCGAAATGAGTTTATAAATAAACTTCACTTGTTTAGACAGCTGTGTGTGTTATCTTACACTATAGTTTAATTGACGCTTAGTATATTTTAAACTATGGAGCTCTGAATTCGAGTTGCAACTTCACTTCCAATGCCTTTCCTTGTTTTAGTTAATGTTATATCTTAATAATTAGTTAGGAATTTGAATAATTCATTCCTTGATTAGTCCTACTAAATCTATGAAACGAAATAATTAAATTACAAATTAAATGCATTAATATTAATGGCATTTGAGCCTAAACAAAAGAACACATAGGGAATTCTAAAATTAATTTTAATTGAAGTGATAATATGTAGTAATAACAAACGGAGCCTCAAAACAAAGTGTGACCAAATTATTATATACTATAGTAGCCTATAATAAAAGTTTGTTGTTTCTCATCATGCACATGCATTGATCTGTGACATCTTTTAGAGCCTACTGTCATCCAATTTCTCAAATTAACTTATTTTGTGTTCCACAGAAAAGAGTAATGGAATGACATGAAGGTTCAGTAAATTATGACTTTTCTGTGTGTGTGTGTGTTTAGTGTGAAATGTTGTCTTTAATGACTACCTATACAAGAAAACCTTAGCAGATTTAAGTTACACCAGACATATAACGGAATTAGGACAAATTTAATGGTTCAACTTCTTTAATTCTCGCCCACAACAAATTGGTTTTTGCCTCTCGTATTTCTTCAGAAGTAGGATATAATCACTGTGGGACAGGAAATCTTTAAAACGGCGAAAGAAAATGAAAGGACGAGACAGCAGGATGATAGGAGTTAATGAAACAGGCATGTAGTGGGCACCTTGCGGGGAAAGATCTGGAATTAGAGTCGTGATTAAAATGACTCAGTGGCTGAGATTTCAAGAGCAGACAGACGGGCAAAGGTCTGGAGTCTCATACTGTTACCTGTGATTAAGAGAGTCAGCTGGAATACTTCTGCTTTATCATAATTACACACTGAGAAAACTGCAATGGATATCACGTAGAGATACGAGGTAAAAGGAAAAGTGATATAATGAAAAACACAAAAACCTACCCTGGGAGAAATCAAATCAAAGCAAAATGGCATCAAATGCATTCGTATTCGAAACTTTTAAATAAAGCACTGTATTGTTTCCATTTTCACATTCAATAGTCTGGACGTACACATCTATTGTGATCCACACTCACTGGTCACTTTATTAGGTACACATTGATAGTAACGAGTTAGACCCCATTAGCTTTAAACTGTATCAATTCTTTGTGCATCAATATAGAAGCTGCAGGAAACATTCCTCAGAGATTTTAATCTATATTGGCAGGATAAACTCTGAGTTTATGCAGATTAGTTGGATGCACATCTATCGCAAATCTCCTGTAATATTGCATTAAAAAGATGCTCAACGGGACTGACATCTGATGACTTTAAAAGTCATTTGAGTTTTGTAAACTCATTGACATGTTTAAAAAAAAAAACATTAAGATCTCTTTGTGATACATTATTATCTGCTGGAAGTGGACATCAGAAATGGGTATGTTTATAGCTGACCTGAGTGTTAGTAGTGTGGGCTTTGCTGCTATATGGTTTGAGCAACTTTTTTGCTGCTATATGGTTTGAGCAACTGTTTTACTGTCTTTCTATCAGCGTGAATCAATCTGACTATTGTTCTCTGACCCTTAAAAAAATTCTGACCATTCTGTAAACCCAATATATAATCAGAGTTGTGCTAATGTTTGAAATGTCTAGTAAATCAGTAGTTTCTGAAATACTCACAACAGCCTTTCTGGCACCGACATCCATGCCATGCTCAAAAGTCACATAGTTCATCTTTCATCTCTGTTCTGATGCTTGGTTTGAATTTCAGCAAATCATCTTGACCATGTCTGCATGACCATGTATCTCCAAAATGCATTGAGTTGCTGATTAAATTGGTTGATTAGTGCTAAATGTTTGCACTGACTAGCAGTTTCCAAAGTCCTTACGAAGTCATTTTACTCTGCATCTTTGTGCATCAAGTGCAGCTTCTATAACTCTGAACAAGAAAACATCAAATCCGCCAAAACTGTTTGCCTGGTCTTTTGAGGTAATTTCCAACACATTTCAGACATGAAAGCTTCTCCCAAAATGACAGCAACAACTTTGAGGCGGAAGGCAGGAATTTGTTAAAAATAATGAGGTCAGACAGGAAAGACTGTACCTCACATTTGTTCCACACAGATTACGCAACTAGCATATGATTGGTTAATTTAAAAATGGAGATTTCAAGCTTTATGTAGATATGTTTTTCATGTCTGGGAGGGATGTATTCGCTAAGACAGGAGTGTCCACACTCCTGGAGGACCAGTGTCCTGGAGAGTTTAGCTCCAACCCGAATAAAACACACATGAACCAGCTAATCAAGCTCTTACTAGATATACTAAAAACTTCCTGGCAGGTGTGTTGAAGCAGGTTGGAGCTAAACTCAGCAGGACACAGGCCCTCCAGGACTGAGTTTGGACACCCCTGCGCTAAGATTACAGCCCGTTGGCTGACCCCCACATCTTAAAGAACACGAACCTCTCCTCCTATAATGAGTGATGATTGGCTCCTTTACTAGAATTTGGGGCTATCTTCGTTAAAGTGGCCGCATTCAAAACTACACGAGTGGCATACCTCGTTTAATCTACAGTTTTTTATCTTGACTGTTCACTGGAAATTAATTGGACAGTTTTGGTTTGATATCCATGTAATCTCTGAGAGGCTGTCCTATCCTTGCATGGGTGAACATCCCATCAAAGGAGAGGTTTGATTTCAGGTGAGAGGGGATTTTTATTTAGATTAAGGATTACCAGGGCATGTGCGTCAAAAAATAAATAAATTTTAATTACCACTCCAATACATCATTAAAAAAAAAAATCTTTAATTTTTATTTCATAGTGACTTTAAATGCACGTTCAACATCGCAGGGGTTAGGTCTTCCTTGAGAGGGCTGATGTGAACCGGATTGGCTGTTGGAATAAGGCGCTGCGGGAGGCTGGGAGAAAGTTAGCCTTTTTAAATAGGATTGATGACCTGACAGATGCGGCTCAGCTGAGCCTTGATCCCCCTCTCTCCTGTTGCATGCAGAAGGCGTGTGTTGCCATCCCAGGCCTTGAGCACAGTAAACACAAGCTGCTAGTCACAGCCTTTCACTGTGCTGTCACAAGCAGCCAGGATTGATTACCCTGTGAGGCGATAGCTATCACTTTCTCTGACCCAGAAGTGTCAGTGGTGGTAATATGGACACGTGTAGCGGAACCAAATGTAGGTCATGTGACTACAGACGTGGCTTATCAACAGAGGTTATCGACATAGCTGACAGGACGGTAGAATTGAAGTCAACGTGGCATGCTTTATGCATTTACTTGTCAGAGGATTTGAATTTTTTGTGTGTGTGAGAATGTGTGATTGCTCAGTGGAGGTGGTTTGTGTAAAATCATATCATTTTGCAAGCGTATTTGTATGCTTTTATGAACAATTATTATTTGGAGAAAGCAGATAAGCCAATGTAAGCCAATGTCAGTTGAGTGTCAGTTGCAGCGGGACCAGAAATTAGACATCTTTAGGTTTCAGTGTCATAGAGAAACATTGGAATATCCAAAGCTCTAAATGATTTGAATGTGTTGACAAAAGTAGTAAATAGATGTGCCTGGAGTATTTCTAACACTGATTCCACAAACGACAAGCGACAGACCGGAAGTTATTAATTTCCAATAGAGAATAGTTCGGGATCTGCGTGAAGATCATCTTCATATGTGGAAAATTCAGATCTGATTTGAGCTGCAGATTCGTTAAATCTTTTGAACTCCTGCAACTTGACAATATGGGACTGGCAGACCTGATATGACCTATTCCAGTGTTGTCCAAGCAGGACCATGCGCGATGAGAAATAGTAGTTTTTCGTTATTTTTTATCATAAAAAGTCTATATTAAAAAAAAATCTATTCATAAATGAGTGATAAAAAGCATTATCTTTAATCTTGTCTCCACAATCCCTCCAAAATTTTTAGCAGTCTATGATGAGTTTCTAGTATTCATTCATTCATTCATTCATTCAACTACAGTATGGTGAACGCATAGAGAATAGAAGCTCTTGCTTTTGCACGCTTTTATTCCGAACACCACCATGAGAATCAGCTTCCAATGGTGCATGACAAAACTGAATACTTTGTGCGACTGCCAGAAGGGGGCATATTCCAACAGTCCTGTCTGAATGTTGTGTGCAGTGGAAAGGCAGCTTAAGAGGATGGCAAACTGAATTTATTTCATTGCATTTGCTAAACCTAAACAAGACATTTAACTTCCAGAAGATGTATAGATTGGTTCTCAGTTACTCTGCAAACTCTGCTAACATCATTCATTCATTTATTCATTTTCTTGTCGGCTTAGTCCCTTTATTAATCCGGAGTTCGCCACAGCGGAATGAACCGCCAACTTATCCAGCAAGTTTTTACGCAGCGGATACCCTTCTTAGCCGCAACCCATCTCTGGGAAATCTGCTAACATCACTTTGTCACAAGTTTTTTTAATCATAATCATTATGTAGTAATGCTGTCTCTGCCTCAGCTGAGTTAGATAAGCGACAGTAATGTTACATAGCTCAAGCTAATGTTAGCTAAAGTTAATCACCACTAGCAAAATAAGGTAAATGTAAATTCATTTCATCTGAGCCTGTTGCACATAAACAGTATTGATCCTGAATATTTATCATCAGAGATCGTGACAACCATTACATGAGGTTTCTCCCGATTGCATTGTGATCTGTAAACCCCTGCTTTCAAATGAATCTTGTTTTTTATATTTTATCTTTAATATATCCCTATGTGGCATATTTAAACCCAACATGAATTCTTCAAAATCCATTGGGAAAGGTTTGTCATTGCAACAAAGTAACTATCCAGTTTTTTTTTTTCTTCGAATTGCAACAGTGACTATGGAGGGTGGGGTTTGCTGATAAGTCAGCTTTAAGAACATTCTTTGCATCTTAGCTTGTTATTGTGAACAAACCGTACATGGACTTCAATATCACAAGCAATAAATTTAACTGCACCACTTCATTAACAGTGAACCCTTACCCTGTCTGGTGGTTTTGAAGTTGAAGGACTGGAATCCTCCAGCGAGAGCTGATGAGTCAATGACGTCCACTCCATACTCGCTCTGGCTCTTCCTGTAGAGGGTAATGGCCACGATGAGGACAACCACAGCGATCACACCCGCAGCCAAACCAGAGTACAGCGCTACATCCATTGAGTTCTCCATGCCTGTAAAACAATACCATAAACTTAGACTCCATAGGAAAATTACAATATACTGTGGAAATAATTAAGAAAATGATTGAGCTATTACATTAAGCTGTAATAATAATGATAATAATAATAATAATAAATAATAATAATTACTGTATTATCATCATTATTATTATTGCAATTAAATATTACATATTACTTTAAATATAATAATAATTATTATTATTATTATTATAATTATTTTTACAATTAAGTTTAATTTCATGGTTTTGTAGTTGTGTTCAAATCAAACGTTTTCACAGAACCAAACAATTAATTAAACAATAAATAAACTATAACAAAAATAATAGTAATAATAAAATAGTAAGATATATTTAGTGACAGTTTTATAATATTTCAGTTGTAATTATTACTACAAATAAAACTAATATAGGGCCCTGCTATAAACTCGGCACAATTAGGTGCAAGACGTCGTTGCCGCGATTTGTTGTTTGATTTTCTTTATCCTCACACTGCAGATGGTCTGATTAACTGTTTTCTTGCTAGTGAAGTATTCAGTTTTTCCACTTACTAAGTCGTCATGTAAATAGGAAATACGCCATAGCACGAAACAACTAGACTTAGACCTAGATCCTAGACCTAGATCGTTAAAATACAGCGCATAGTGTTATGAAAATAAAAATAACATATGGTTTATTTAAAAGTTTTGTAGAATTGTGCAAAAAAAAAAAATATATATATATAAATATATATATATATATATATATATATATATATATATATATATATATATATATATATATATATAATATAATCAATTAAAATAAAATTCTAATAAAATAGTATAATATAATAAAATATAATATAATAAATTAAAATAAAATAAAATAGTTAAAATAAAATAATAATAAATTATTTTAAATAAAATAATAATAAATAATATAATTATTTTGTCCTTATTTAATAAATAAATATTCAAATATTTGATTATATGTTTAGAAAGGTTAGTACTTTTTTTTCCAACTTCACATTTATAACATTTAATTCTATATCTAACCAAAAATCAAATGAAAGATATAACTCATTTAACAGTAGATTTGTGTAAGTGAATTGTTCTCACTGTGTTAGAAAAACAGATTTTTGCAGAGAGGTAAACATTCAAATCCGTCACGGCTGGCCATTGTGGTTACAGTTGCAAATCTTTCGGACACCTGTGCAAATGGAACAGGTGCAATATGCACATGTTTAGCAGTGTATAAAGATCTGCTTGCTTGGCACGTGAGGCCAGTTTGGGAGGTGTGAATTCCAGGGCTCTTACTACTTTAATAACTGGCAGCATGGTGTGCCAAAGCCCCACGCAATGATACATCTGTTCAGCTGGCAACTACAGCACTGGCCCAGGTGACCTCTGCAGCGGGACTGTTGGCCAGATCACAGAGGACACAGAGGACATTAATCATGCCATGAGAGAAAGAATATGCTTAAAACCACAGCCCCGCATCTCAAAAATCCAGACGCAGTACAGAAAGTTGAACAGGATTACATGCATCAAGCTGGAAACCAGTTGGAGTCCAAGGGTAAAGGTGAATTAATTGCATGTCCATCGGGCGACAGATTTAATAGGTTTAATTAGAAGCATTATAACGCAGCTCACACATCAATGCACAGGAAAGAGTCTCAGATCTGCGTCACCGAAACAATGAGGAAGCACCTGCTACTAATGCATATTTAAACGCATGTTGCGCAAAGTGCCTCAATATGGTTAAAATAATACAAGGGGAGATATTAAGACATAATACGCTTGACGAGGTGAGTTAATATTCCATGATTACACCTGGTTGCTTCCTCTAAATATAGCACATTTTAATACGCCACATCCAATCACTCATGTGCCTTTGTCTAAATGGACACAATACATTCAGTGGCACTTAAAAATTCTCTGAAGTTGATAAGGACACTTTAAACTTTGCAATTCTTAATGAAAAATAACTGAAATATTTATAATAATAATAATTATAATATTAATAATATTTTTTTTTAAATTAAGTCACATACAGTGAGGGAAAAAGTATTGAACACGTCACAATTTTTCTCAGAAAACTTAATTCTAACGGTGTTGTTGACTTAAAATTTTTTACCAGATGTTGATAACACCCAAATAAATTCATATATGCAAAGAAAACACAACTTATTAATTTACAAATAAAGTTATGTGTAATAAAATAAAATGACAAAGGAAAAAAGTAATACACATAAAGAAAGAAAGGTGTAGAAAGACAGTGAAGGTTCAGACAGCAGCTGAAATCTCTTAGTAATTATTCAGCAACCCTCTACCCTTCATCATTGTAAATAATGAAGATAAGTATTATGAAGATGAAACCAGAGTGGACATTTGAGCAAGACAATGATCACAGCCAAGAAAACTCTCAAATACTTTCAGAGAAAAAAAAATCAAGCTGTAGAATGGCCCAGCCAATCACTTGACTGGTATACATGCAAGTATAAACATGCATTGTTGTTCCTTATGTTTTACAATATTACAATAAAACAAACAGCAATTATGGCAGCATAAATAAAATATTCATTATAAATGTTAAGTATAAAAATATAAAGTCAAAGTTACAACTAATCTCTTTGATGCTGCACAATTACAAATGTTTACTAGTTTTGAGCCTATTTTGCTTGCTAGATGGTATTTATATCAAATGCTTTAAATATAAAGTCACAACAAGTTTCAGATGAGAAAAAATATATTTGTTCTGCAGGAAAAATGATAATAAAGGTAAAACCTGCCAGATTTACTTTTTAGTCTACCTGGTGGATTTTCAATTATTTCATGAATAAACATATTTACTTCTTTGTTTATTTTTCTGATGCTTTAATTTTCCAATAACATTTTATTTGATGTGGTAGATTTAGTTGGGTTATGATTAAAAATTATACTTCTATTCTGGAATATATTGTAATAGCAATTAAACTTTAATAAAACTAAATTATTTCACTAGGATTTTTTTTCGAACAGTTTTTTTTTTATCTTTTATGAATAAATGATAACAATAACAAAATTTCAACATTTATTTTCTTGTTTCACCAGCAGTGTTTTTCTTTCTGGCATTTGTTTCTTCTAACATTCATTTATAAATTCCTTCTAGGCATCCTGCACTGCATACACTCTTCTTTTTTTAGCTTTCTTTTGCTTTGTGTGGATGCAGTTGGATTAGAATTAATCCAAGCACAATCACACCGGTGTGATTACAGAACCATGCTGAATTCAAAATAAGATGGCTTGCTCTGAGGCATAGAAAATGATACACAGTGCTTATCATAAATCACAACTTATAAGTGTTTTCAAACAAATAACATTTAGTTTAGGTTACTGACTGGCAAAACATAACATTTAATCTTTGTAAAATACATGCTGATGTCTATGGAGACAGCTATAAATATAATTTTAAATATAACTGGGCGAGGTGCTTTTTTACCTAAGATACACAGTGAATATGTTACTAGTACATTTTCTCTATTCATCCCATAGTTTAACAGTAATTTCCATTCTACAATTTAAACCATACGGACAGATTGGATTCTTCCTAATTAATCTTTTCCATCTTATCCGTTTTCCACTTTGCTGCAAATTACACCTGTTGTCAGCATAATGATACAGGTAACAAAGCGTAGAAGTGAACACATATTTGGGATGAGCGAGCTCATCCTAATTAAAAAAGTGAAGAAAAAAAAATAGCCTTCACACAAAAGAGATATTTTTTATGTAAACAGAAGTCCACTTCACATCAGCACTAGCTTATTTATCAGTTTTATTCCCTCATCTAAATTCACAAGGAGGAAAGAACTCACTCTGTGGCTTAACATCATGCATCAGCTTTCCATCTGCAGAGAAAAAAAAAAAAACAAGAAAGGAGAGAGAATTACAGTCCGTCCCCGTAATACTTCTTGCAAACACGCTCTCTGATTCTCATCACGGGTACATGTCCAACTGCAGGCTATGCCAACATCAGCTGTGGAGACTGTTGCTGGGCATCGCTGGCAATGGCAGCACTTGGCAGATAGTTTTGGATCACTTAGGCTTCAGGATGTTTCCATCCTTCATTAAGGACAAGAAATCAGAGAGGATTCTCATCATAATAATAGCTACGAGGGAGACATGGAGAGGAGTAAAGGGCATGATGCCATCACCTTCATCTACTTTCAGCAGACTATTATCACACTTCCCCGAGCTTCACGATGAATGTTAAAGGAGACATATTATACACCTTTTCATAGGGTGGCAAATAAATCTCTGGTGTCTTCAGAATGTGTCTGTGAAGTTTCAGCTCGAAATACCATAGATTGTTTATTATAGCTTGTGGAATTTGCATCATTTTTGTGAAAGCAAAAAAGTATGTTTTGTGTGTACCTTTAACTGCAAATGAACTGCTGCATTCTAGAAAAGGGCAGAGACTTTATAAGCTATTCTGACACTCCAGAAACAACAAAACAGGCAAATTTCACAGTCAGAAATAGACCCTTTTCACATTTCCAGGTTTCTCAGTTGCGGAAGTTGTCATAGTCTGGAAAACTTAAGAGTGCAATGAATAATTTTATACAAAGTTTATATTATAACATAATATAAATATATGTTTTTTTTTACATAACATACACACTGTGTATGTTACTAGAACATTTACTCTATTCCTCTCCCAGTTAAACAGTCGTTTACTTTCATTTAGTACGGAAATTATAAGTAAACATGTAAATCCAGATCTTTTCTCTCTTGCAGTGTAGACTAAGCATGGCAATCCCTATCACCCATCATATATCAAATAATATGATCATTGTTAAATTGTTTAAAAGACATGTTCTTATACATATTTAAAAATTGGAATATTAAATAACTTACAGAATAATTAATCCATTTGTAAATATTTGAAAAGGGATAAAAGAAACAAAGCCAAATCTATAAATAATTGCAGTGTGTTATGATAAACTTAACTTGTCACCATGGGAATTTTAAAGTGATGCATGCTAAATAATGGTAACAATAAAACACTCATTAAGGGGGTCAACAGGACTACTTAGAAGTTACGTGTGAAATGGTTAGTTGTTCACCCAAAGAATAACAATGTGCGCTAGCAAAATAAACATTGTAAATTGTGAATTTTCTTTTGCCACTAGGAGAGCAAAATCTTAATGGCAAATGTTTCCGTTTTTGCAGAGAAAAGCTTACCTAAACAAAGCTAATATGTTGTTGTTCTTTTTTTTCTAGGATTAAAGATGCAAACGGTCTGATTTTCCTGATAGGTCCCCTTTGAAATTCAAGTGTGCAATATATTGAGAGTTCTGTATGTAATGACGATGCAGCTGATGTCTTGAGCACATACTTACTTTGCGTGCACAATCCTCCAGTGCAGTTCTCTGTGCTTTGACCTTCTCCCTCACACATCTTGCCTCTGTGACGGGGTGGAGGATCGTTGCACTCCCTCCATCGCTGTCTCTCACACTGCGCACTACACATCGTCCACTCGCTCCACTCCTCCCAAACTCCATCCACTGCAGAGCAGCACAGCGGGGTAGCCGTTTAAGGAAGGTGAACAGCTGCTCTGGGCATTAACTGCACTTGGCAATGAACTTATGAGATTTCTAGAGACTTCATAAACTTGATTAAAAGTGTTTTAATGGTTCATCTCCTGACCTATACAAATTTTTTATGCATATTTTCAGTAAATCCAAAAAAATATTAAATGAATAAGAATAAAATGTCATCTTCAGCTTGTTCTAGTGGTTTTCATTCTTTTATCAAGCTAATGATAATAAAAATTATAAAATGACTTATGGGATAATACATTCCACACTTCCCCAAACTCTAATCACCAGTTTATTCACTTTAAAACTATTCACAAGGCATATTTAACCACACGTATATGACATATAAGTTTCTCTCCACATCCTAATTGTAAGTTCTGTGAACCACAGCGTCCTGATACCTTTTTACATATGATGTGGGAATGTCCGGAGGTGCAAAAACTTTGGGATTCGGTGCTGGACATTTTATTGAAAGTTACAAAAATTTGTTTCCCCAAAGATCCTGTATTGTTATTATTGAATGATAACTCTCAATTTCCCCTAAATGCAAATGTCCGTAAATTTTGGTTAGCTGCTTCAACTGCTACAAAGAAAATGTTGGTACAAAGGTGGAAACCATCTCATGGTCTCTCAGTTAAGCACTGGTTACATTCACTATTGGAAATACTATATCTGTAACTGTCATCAGCACGGATCAACCATGCTAAACTGGACATTCTTATGGTATGGAAAATCTATATATTCAACGTCAAAGAAATCTTGGACACTCGTCTGATACTACGAATGTCAAATTTAATGTAAATTATCTAACAGCATGGTCTAAACTACAGTTATTCTGTGTTTCCTGATGTGCGTATAATGGGGTGGGGGGATGTGGAATATATATTAACAGATATATAATATCTGTTAAAAGTATTTTTCTATCTGATTGTAAAAAATTGAATATTTTCATTTTCGGGGGAAAAAAACTGAATTACAAAAAACAAAAAAAAGACTTGTGAATCTAAATTTGTTAACTAGGATGGTTAGAGTAAACCAAACCTGAAAAAAAATAATCGAAAAAAAAAAAAATTGCTTAAAGGAGCTATTAATTTTGTCCCTAAAATGCTTTTTTTTTTTTTAAATAAAATAAACACTGCTTTTATCCTAGCCAAAACAAAACAAATAAAGACTTTCTCCAGAAGACAAAATATTATCAGACATCCTGTGAAAAGTTCCTTGCTCTGTTAAACAATTTTTTAAAAACTTTTCTTTCTATACATCAAATAATCGAATAGAAAATAAACATTGAAAACTATTACTGTTTAGTAATTAATATTTTTCTAGTTAATATATATTTAGATAAAAAAACATTTAAGTTGAACTAAGACTTATATTACATGAGGTTTGAAAAATTACAAATTGTTTTCAAAACCAGCCAATATTCAAAACGGACTAAAGCTGAAATCCAGCCAATATTACTTTCTTTTTAAAGTTGAAGTAAAGTTCATGTCAGCTAAAAAAAAAAAAATTATAAAAAAAATAAATAAATAAATACATTTTAACAAGAAATTAGGTGAGCATAAAATAGCTTTTGAAATAGTAGTTACAAAATAATAACTAGTTAAAGCAGCTTGATTTTTTTTTCTATTAGTGATGAATAAAATACATGTTTTAAAATGTATCAAACAGAAAATAATTAGTTTAAATCATGACATTTTGCAACAATACTGTGTTCCTGTACGTTGATCATATACAGGGGCGGACTGGGACAAAAATTCAGCCCTGGCACTGTAGCCAGATCAGCCCACATTACCACACCGACACAGCCCCACCCATGGACACGCACATTCAGTATTTATTTTGGTGTACAGATGGTAAAATAATATGACATTCTTCCCAGATTTTGATAACGTCCGGGTGACCTCGGATTGGGTCGGCCAATCTTGAAATCAGGCGGCCATCGCCGATTGGGCCAAATGCTTAACATTTATTATTAATATTATTATTATTATTTATTTATTTATTTATTTTTTATCAACATCATAATATCACATCTAGCAAGAGATAAAAGCTGACTGCACGTAAAAACAATACATATAAAAAAAAACAAGAAAAAAAAAATAAACTGACCGGCCCACATTTAAAAATTGGTCCGGCCCTTCTGGCATTTGCCAGAATTGCCAGATGGCCAGTCCGCCCCTGATCATATAAATGCAACCTATGTAACATTAGAGTCTTTTAATTTTATTAAGCATTTGATCATGCAGTAAATATATAGCAGCAGTAATGTTGCTCATAATTTGTTTTGCTGCTTATACAAATGCATCATCACAGTATGTGAAGAAAAAAACACTATTAGATTAAACTTATTACAACTTAATTTCAACGCCATTGAATGGTTTATTGAAAATAATTACTTTAAATATAAACAAGGAGTCAGCTAGGCACATAGTTATTTAAATCATTCTTGATAGAGATCAAAACGTGACAATAACTAATAACTTTACCAGAACTTTGAACCAAATAAATCCAACTTTTGAGTAAAAATACTTAATTAGTTCCCTAATTTATCATATCAGTCAAATCAATGTATGATTCATTTAGAATTAGAACATTTATTATGCAAACCAACAATAACTTTGATCTGATCAAAAGACAAATTGAGTTTTCAAATGAATATATATTTAGATAAAAACATTGAAGTTGAACTAAGACTAATATTATATGAGGTTTGTAAAATTCTACTTTAAAAGTTACATGAAAGGTTATTATCAAATCCTGCCAGCATTCGAAATGAACTAAAAAGCCAAATCCAGCCAATGCTACAACCTTTTTAACATTGAAGTTCATGTCAGCTAAATAAATAAATCAATGCAACTTCGAAGTGAAATAAGGTAAGCATAAAATAGCTTTTGAATTAGTAATGACTAAATAATAACTAGTTAAGCAGCTTGATTTTTTCTATAAGTGATTAATAAAATGCATGTTTTAAAATTTAAACAGAAAACAAGTAGTTTCAATTATGACATTTTGCAGTATTACTGTGTTCCTGTATGTTAATCATATAAATGCAACCTTGGTAACATTAGAGACTTTTAATTTAATTAAGCATTTAATCAAGCTTCAAACTCTGAACAGTAGTTGCCACGCTGTGAACATATAACAGCAGTAATGCTGCTCATAATTTGTTTTGCTGCTTATACAGACACATTATCACAGTATGTGTAGAAAAAAATACTAAGAGATTGAACTCTAATTAAAAATTAATTTCAATGCCATTGAATGGCTTATTAAAAATAATTACTTTAAATATAAACAAGGAGTCAGCTTGGCACATTTAAATCATTCTTGATAAAAATAGATCAAAACAAGACGTTAATAACTCGGCCAGAACTTTTAGCCAAAGAAATCCTCTTTTTTATAAGTAATTGCAACATTTTCTTAATTAATTAGATTAGTTCCCTAATTGCCATCACATATCATATCAGTCAAATCATTGTGTGATTCATTTAGAATTAGACCAATTAAGCATTTTCAAGCTAAACGGTGTACAAATGATTAAATAAAAAACATTTATTATGCAAACCACTAATAACCATGCTTGATCTGATCGAAAAAGACAAATCGAGTTAAAACTGGAAAAAACCAAGCACTGCATGTACACTGACTCCGCTAAGATTAAATGAACCACACAATATTTCTTTATTCTCATATGTGAAATTAAGAATATAGTATGATGTCTAAAAAGTGCTACGCTGACTGAAAACCTCCTGAGAGTTTGGCAATGTGAGGTTGGCAGGGATCTGACCTGGACAGACTGCATTGCAGGCGATCTTCTGGACAGACATGCCCTCGCAGAAAGCCCCTCCGTTCAGAGGAGCAGGGTTCGTGCAGGTCCGAGAGCGTTTCTGAACTCCTCTCCCACAGTTCACACTGCAGGAAGACCACTCAGTCCACAGAGACCAACCGCCGTTCACTGCAGAGACAGAGAGATCAGCTGCTGAGTTAAACAACAACTGCCAAAAGAAACGCAGACTAGAGGTCAGGAAGAAAATCTTCACTTAAATGTGTGCTCTGACTTTTTGTAGCTCAGCTTTGAAACTGCATGTTTTACTTGTAAAACCAATGCCATTTATACTATTTTAACTCTGATTTGTTCTGATAGGGTCACACACTACAGGGAAAACCGAATGCTAAATGCAAATGATAAAATACTACTGATTATATTATTGTGGATAGTTACAGAGGTGACACGGTGGCTCAGTAGTTAGCACTGTTGGCTCACAGTAAGAAGGCTGGGTCAGTTGGCGTTTCTGTGTGGAGTTTGCATATTCTCGCCATGTTCGCGTGGATTTCCTCCGGGTGCTCTGATTTCCCCCACAGTCCAAAGACATGCGGTACAGGTGAATGGAATAAACTACATTGGTGACATGTGAATGCATGTGTATGGATTTTTCCCAGTTCTAGGTTGCAGCTGGAAGGGCATCTGCTATGTAAAGCATATGCTGGATAAGTTAGTGGTTCATTCCGCCATGGCCATCCCTACAGCCAAAGGAAAATTAATAAATGAATGGATAGTTACAGAAAACTAAGAAGTCTTATTCAAATCAAATCAGGTCTTTATTTGTCACATACACTTTCGTGTAGTGAAATTCAACCTCTAGCATTTAGAAAAGGAAGTAAGATACATCAGGAGAAAAAAAGAGCTCAATTTAGAGCTTTATGGAAAGGCTGTGAATACTTTTGTACATGGGATTTTTCAGGTTTTTTATTTTTAATAAATTATAGGGTATTATGAGTAGAATTTTTAGAAAAAAAATGAATTTAATCCATTTTGGAAAAAGGCTGCAACATAAAGTGAAAAAAGGTAACCGCTATGAATACTTTCCAGATGCACAGTACAAGTCTTTATTTATCTTTGTAAAACAAATGGGGACTTTTTTTTTTACAAAACCAGAAAGCTTTCTGTTCCTCTGTTTAAAGTCTATTTACCCAAAATATTGATGTTTCAAATGATTTATAAAGAGATCATAAAATAGACAGAAACTAACAAGGACTGTTTGTGTGACATTTCCTCATCCCAAAAATCTGTAAACAAAACTAAGCTACTGTAAATACAGCCTACAGCAGAGCCCACATACTATCTCCTCTTCTTTTGACTGCTTAAGAATGGCACTTCTTTCACTAACAACATAGCAAACATCAGCAAAAAGTACATACAGCCCTCCTACACTCTTCTCCCCTTAGAGATTGATGCTTCCAAACTTCTCCTTACTAACTGTCTACTACGAAAAAAAATCATCACTTAACCCTGCAGTACCAGATAACTGCAGATCTCTGACTCTGGTTCCCTTCCTGTCCAAACTCTTGAAAGATCTACCTTAACCGGCCAATACTCTATACCAATCGGGCTTCAGAAGTGAGCCTTCCTCTGAGGCTGCTTGACTGGTGAGAACTACCTCAAAAGTGTCCATCAACATATTTTTTTGATCTTTCTGCTGACTAGAATATGTGAAGAATCCAATTCTTCCATCAGTCTTCTCAGAATGGGTATCAGTGGCATTTTTCCTTACTTCTTGGATGTGAATGAATCAATGCAACAGACCTCTCTAGCATTAAGCTAATGTTTGTTTATGTGAATGTCTGATTATGTCTTGCATTGACTGCTATACTGTGTGCACACTAGGTTAAGGTGAAGTGCAATTTTGTTATTCAATAGATAGTGTGGTTCAGCTATTATGTCGGTCATGTCAAAGAATCTGTCTTTTCCCTCTTCATTTTGATATTTAAATTAAGGACAATTTAAAAGTCAGACTTTAGTTTAGTTTAGTTTTTTTTTTTCCTTTGGGGCCACCTACAGTACATCCCTTCTTCCCCATTCCAGTATTTTGTTATCATGTAAAGCATAGGTCTTAAACTTAATTCCTGGAGGGCTGCAGCTCTGTATAGTTTTGCTCCAACCCTAAAAAAGCACAGCTGATCCAACTAATCAAGTTGTTCAAAAGAGTCTCGAACACCTTGATTAGTTGGATTAGCTGTGCTTGATTAGGGTTGGAGCAAAACTGTGCAGAGTTGCGTTCCTCCAGGAATTGAGTTTGAGACCCATGATGTAAAGAGTGTATATATCCTTCTATGATCAGGATTCACCTTTTTTACTTTGGCATATAATAAAACTATTAGTTTGTAAAGTATTCACCTGGTTTTGTAGTTTCTTTCTACACATTTCTTTTAAATGTTAGTTTTAAGTTTTGGACTGCATGGTAGTTGGAAGATTGGTAGTTTGTTTTTCACAAAGTATTACCTTTTTCTTCATCCAATGATGCACCTAATTCATTCATTAATAACATAAATTATTTTTATTGCAAAGAAAACATGACAAATCAAATAAAAACACATTTTTTCAATTACTTTTTCACTCTTGCTGACATACCAAATAATTTTGGAGCTAATTCAGTAGAAAGTAATTTATCATCATGCAAAAAAAAAAAATTAAATAAATAAATAAAAAATTCAACTTTTGTAATGTTGTTATGTTGTAATGCTAAATATAATGATTAAATTGTGTGTATTATGACACTGTAGGACCAGATGAGAGATCCACCAATCAGAGAAGTACCCGAATAACGATCAGTTGTTTGACTGGATAAAATGAATGAATAATATCTGTACTTCCATGAGTCCTCAAGGCTGTAATAGTTTGCAACTTTAAATCTACTATATCATGCAGGAAATACAAAAGCAATACATTTTTTTATTATTACTGTTGTCTCTCACTTAGCTATACAATGCGATATTCTTAAAGATGTGAAGACAGAATGTTGCAGAGCATGCCTTATTTGAAAATGATATCAGCTTATGACTGCATAATTTTAGCCCCGATTATGACTCGCCGACAGGTTGTGAGAAGTCGGTGACAAATGCCTGAAATCACAGGCAAATCGGTGCTGGTGCACGTGAGTGACCATCACACAGTATGAATTATCAAAGAAGCGGTCTGAGACAATTACCGATGAGTCGCCGATGCCTGTGAGATATTTGGCATGCTAATTATCTGGAGCTGTCGGCGATTCAAATCATGCTGTGTGAAATTAGTTGTAACTGAAAATGTCATCGGGGATCGCCTACAGCCAATGAGAGAGCAGCATTTACTTGTGTGTGTGTGTGTGTGTGTGTGTGTGTGTGTGTGTTTGGTGTGTGTGTGTGTGTGTGTGTGTGTGTGTGTGTACCTGCAGGACAGCGGAAGGTTAAGTGAGAAGTTAAAAGCGCTCATTTTCAATTTATTTGGACCCAAGAAATGGAGGAAAAACTAGTGGAGGTTTAACAGGAGCACCCGTGTCTGTTTGACGTTTCATACAGAAAATTAAAAAAGAGGAGAAATTGCTAATTCCCTTAAAATGCAGGTGAGCAAATATGTACATTTTCTACCCCATTAAAGGCTTCTTTCTCATTATATAGTTAATAACAAAATATATACCACATGTTTTTAGCTGTGAGATGTAGTTTGAATGAAGTTGTCAGCGATTCTTCCTATTGTAAAATCATGCAATGTGAAAGCCCCTGTCGCCGATACATCTTGCAGTGTACACAAAGCAGCGACAAAACGCTAACCTTGATGGTCATGCAGTGTGAAAACATCTGTGACACAACTACTTTGAAAATCATGCAGTCTGAACTCGGCACAAGTTTGCAAAAAGAGGAAGTATGTTTGGGTGCGGGCGCTGGAGTACTGCAGAATTTTTGACAAGGGACGAATGCCACTAAACTCCACCTATAACAGCTGTGTATAAATTACTTATGTCAGGAAATGTAGAGTTGTTGTGTACCTCCTGAATGTAATGCTTGCATTGCATTGGCGATAACCAGAATTCTGTTAATGGAGTTATTCATTTGTACCCAAAACATTACTAATATTTTTGACATTAAAGAAAACCCTCTCCTGACCCTTTTTACTGAACACGTATGGAATTGGATAAATATTTCAACAATAACTTAGGTACTTAAAAAAAACAATAATATATGTCTCAGAAATAAAGGTAGAAAATATGTCACTGGGGCAGTACCTTTTTAAAAGTTACAGTTTTGTTCTTAGAAAGTTCTTAAAGGTACATATAAATGCCCAAAAAGTACAAATGGTACCTCATAGTACCTTAAAAGTATAAAAGTGAACCTTAAAGGTACAAAAGTAAACCTTAAAGGCAGAGTGCAAGTTACAGGGGGTTTTAGGAGGGACTGACCAGAAGGATGTATGGAGGGGTCTGCCCTTTAATACTGAAATAGTTTGCTCTGATCTGTATTTTTAATAATAATGTTAATAAAATAATAGATTATATAATTATGCATTTGACCACCCCTTTTATGGTTCATCGAATTGTGAGTGCATAATCACGCCAATCAGTCTATGCAAGAAAAAAATTCATTTAACAGAAACTGCAGATCTAGAGTACCGATAGACACTGTCAATGTTCGGAAGATTGTTTTCTAATAAAATAGTGATTTGTATCTACATATAGCTTGAAAGTAAAGTCAAATTAGATGCATAGTTTGCCCTACAATAACATCTGAAATAGCTAATCAGAGAATACTGTAGGTCAGAATTCACTAAACATTTCTCAAAACACTGATAATTTTAATTTGCTCACTGATAAAAAGTACAAAAGGTATACTAATGTCCACCTGTATGGTACAAAAGTGTGAACTTTAAAAAGGAACCATCCCAGTCACAGCTTTTGTACCTTTATTTCAGAGTGTGCTGAGCTTAAAAAAAAGCTGATTTAAAAATAAAAATCTAGTCATTTTTTATCATCCAATGTCATTCTTAAATGCAATTCTTTGATCCACACACACACAAAAAAGATATTTTGTAAAGCACTAAACCTTTCTGACTTTATTTCATTGACAAAAAAGTTTTAAAGATTAAAAAGTGTCATGAGGGATGATGATTCAATTAGCACTTTTGGGCAAACTCTTGCTATTAGGGGTGTATAATTTAATAAGTTAGCAGTTAAATTGTGATAATGACGAAGTTCACAGTGCTGTTGCAAGCTTTCAACCATTTAATAATATTTTTAGAAAACTGAGGAGTCAATGAAGCATATGGGTGCAGTCTTACCAAACACAACTACAGTAGCTGTAGTACTGCGTCTTTTTGCGACGATGTTAGTGGCGAGGCAGGTGTAGTTGGCAGAGTCGGAAAGTCTGGCTTCATTGATGATCAGATTGTGGTCAGCACGAGTGTCAATGTTGTCATCTTCAAGTGCGCTGACCAGTTCTTCATTTTTCAACCACTCCACCTAAAAAAAAGATAAATATTTATTAACCAAGCTGTGAATATTACCCAAAGCTGCAAAGGAGCCCAAATAGGTACCAGAATCTATACACAATAAAAGTAGTACATTTTAAAAACTCTACTTTAATAGAGTAATTATTTATAATACATTCATTCATTCATACCCCTGGAAAACACAATGGCTGAGAGCACTATTTGAGAAGAGGCTATTTGTGTTTAGCCAATTTCCTTCTTTAATACAACTTACTATCTAATCTATCAGATTTGGTCAGTGCCTTCAATAGAACACTGTTTATAAAATCAAATTCTAGCAGGAGCCGCAGCAATGGCCTCTTCGCCCCCTCATTCTCTGCTCTCATTACAGTGCTTTAAACTTTGTTCTATTCACGGCTCATTTCTCTGAATCGCATTAACCCTCATATATATAGTTCATAATATTCTTTAATTAGTTTGTGAGCTATATGACTAACCCAGATGCATAATTAGAGTAATTACATTGTATTATAAGGCTGTAAAATGCAGTTGGTGAAGTATGAAGTCAAATGGTACACTGTAAAAAAATGATTATAATTTAAAAGATCTGTTAAATGATACAGTTAAAAAAAACTGTTAATTGGATAATGGAAAGTTCCCTTACTCTGTACAATCAAAACTATAATTGAATGAGGCATTTAAAGGGGACCTATTATGCCCTCTTTTAAAAGATGTAAAATAAGTCTCTGAAGTGTCTGTAAAATAAGTGTTTGTGTGAAGTTAAATGTGCCATTTTGGTGACTGTCACTTTAAATTCAAATGAGATTGTGCTCCCGTAGCCCTATTTTCTAAACAGGGTGAAGCTATTCCAATGTGTCAGCATAGTAGCAGATTTAAATACAAGACTAAGTTCCTATGCTAAAGAGGGAGAGATCGTCACTAATAGACAGGCCCCTTCCCCTCTGATTAGACGTATAAAGAGAAAGAGAAAATGCCAATCGAAAGTGTTTCTGCATTCTGTTTGTATGTATAATTATAAAAAAATAAAATTAATACATTTTTACAATTACAAGCTGGTACAATTACAAGCTAATGCCACACAACTTTGTTTAGGCAAGGCAGGACATGGCAAGTCTATTTATACAGCACATTTCATTCACAGTGGAAATTTAATAAGCTTTACATAAATAGGAATTAAAGAGACAAGAATAATAAAATAAAAACAAATAAAATCTGTTTCTGTGGGACTCATTCAGTGAAGGCAGTGTTTTCAGGCTTGATTTGAACGTGCCTAATGTTGGAGCACATCTGATCATTTCTGGAAGCTGATTCCAGCAGCAGGAGGCATAGTAGCTGAAGGTGGAATCACCCTGTTTTGACTGAACTCTTGGAATTTCTAGTTTATATGATCTTAAAACTCTGAGTGATCTATTCAGTGAGCATATCTGTAATGTATTAAGATCTTAGGCCAGGGGTGCTCAACCCTGTTCCTCGAGATCTACCCTTCTGCATAGTTCAGCTCCTACACTTACGAAGCACACCTGAACCAATTAACTAAGACCTGAACAGCGCTTGATCAATACAGGCAGGTGTGTTTGGATGCAACTGAAATCTGTAGGAAGGTAGATCTCCAGGAACAAGGTTGGCCACCCCTGTCCTAGGCCATTTAGTTATATATAGACATGTAATCATACTTTAAAATCTATTCTGAATGTAAGTGGGAGCCAGATTAAAGACCTAAGGACAGGTGTGATGTGCTCTGATTTTTTGGTTCTGATCAGAATCCTGGCAGCAGCGTACTGGAGGAACTGTCTTTTTGGGAAGGCCAGTGAGGAGTCCATTACAGTAATCCACCCTGCTGCTGATAAAAGCATGAACAAGTCTTCACTTGAAACAAAGCATCTAATTATTGGTAATGTTTTTGGAGATAAGAGTATGCTGATTTACTTACTGCTTTAACATGACTACTGAAACTCAGATCTGACTCCAGAATCACACCAAGATTCTTGACCTTATTTTTTGGGGGGTTTGACCCTTAGAGCCACGGTGCGCATTCACCTCTATCTCTATTCCCAAAATTAATGACTTCATTACATTGGTAAAGAATGTAAAGAATCATTAAAATTCTATCTCTAAAGTGACGTTTTTAAATTAGCAACGGATTTTGCTGTTCTGACGGTCAGCTGCAGTTTTGAATGAATGCCAGAAGAAAGTAGTTCCTCGTTAAAAAAAAAAAAAAAAAGGATTTTTGAAACTCTTTGTGTCAGATTTTCATTTTTATATAAACAATTATGCCATTGAACTGTTGTATAAATGCAATATCGCACGAGTAGTAGTGGCCTCAAGCTAATGCACGCCTTCTACCAGCCATATCGCAATTATTTTGATTGATTTTATTTATTTTTTTAAATATTTTTTTTACCAAAGTTTGTTTTAAAAATCTACAAATATAGTAATGTTGTTACCTTTTTTTCTTGAAGCTGTTTTTTCTGTTGTCTTTTCTTTACAAAATTCCACTTTTTTGTTTTATTTTTATTTATTGTATTGTTGAAAAACAAAAAAGCAAGTCTCACAGTCCCGACAACCTCATTACCCTGGTATATTGCAATAGCTTAAGAAGGTTTGTAGGCACTTCTCAGCTTAAACCAGCTAAGACCAACAAATCACCAGGTTAAAGCTGTTTTTTCAGCAGGGAGTAGTAAAGCGTGTGTACGGAAGCGCAGAGCACATTTCTCGTCCAATGTATTTACTCAAGTTTTCAGGGAAGCTTGGGAGCTGGAATAGGCAATTAGCACACAGCAAGCAGACCTCTCTGTTGAGACATTTGCCATGCTCTGCATTCTTGAGCACCACTTCCCCTTCGCTATTGAAAGAGTGAACAACCAGACATGACGAGGAAAGAAAAAAGAAATAAAGAAAGACAGGATAGAGGAAGAGAAAGAGTGAGAGGAGGAAAAGTAGGGGACAAATACAAATTAGCCAGGTGAATGTGTGGCAGAAGATGTGAGAAATGAATGGCCTAATTGGCACATTTGTTTCAATTACAGCGTGGCTAACAGTGGCAGGGCTGACAGAGGAGTTTCCACAGTCTCCAGAGGATCCTGTGATTTCATTAGAGCCTCCATCCTGCCTGTTTAAGGTCCTCTTGACAGGGGGAGATCAGCTGAAGTGAAGACCTTGCTGTTATCACAAGCACAGAGGCGAGTCTGCTGTCACCAGAAAAGCAGGACAGGAGGTCAGAGATTTTTGAACTTTGTAAACAGGCTATCAGAATCAGTTTTTTTTTGCAGGTGATTTTTATAGTACCTGTGTGTGCTGGAGAAGAGGCTGTTGAAGCTGCTTCATATTTTAGCAGGGTAATTACTAAGATTAAACAGTTCTGATAGACAGCCCTCAGGGAGCAGAAATATAACGCCGCCTCGCTGACTGCGAATTCAATCAAACCCACACGCGCACAACACAACGACAAGACTGACACAAACAGACACACCTACAATCGCTTTGAAATTACTTTTGACACCAACCTTTGATAGTGCGGATGTGAATTTCTAGTACTGCTTTTGTTGTCAGCTTTGATATACAATGAGCCAGAAAAAAAAGTCAACAAACAGCTTTCAAATGAGTTTTCCATTTAAGCACGTCACTGCAAAATACACTTTACAAATGAATCACCGAAAATATATTTATGCTCTTGGTTGTTTTGTTGTCATTTGTTGAATTAGCATAAATGTTGCACATGAGTAGCAGTCAGAATATGAAGAGTAGATTACCTACACACTGTAATCCATTGCTAATTACAATTTACATAGTGAAAACTGTAGTAAGTACACTCAGAAATGACTTTTGTTGCTTGTTCAAACTGTTTATTTTAAGGGCACATATTTTACCCCTCTTTCAAGATTTAAAATAAGTCTTTTGTGTCTCCAGAATATGTCTGTAACGTTTCAGCTCAAAACACACATCAGATTATTTATTATACTTTTTTAACATTAGAATTATCTGCTCTGAACACAAGGTAGCTGTTTATGTTGCATGTGCCTTACTGCTAGTTCCCCCCACCCACCTTTCCCACATGTCTGTCAGAGTGTGTCTCAATCTCTGGCTGCGTCAGATATACAGCACAGTGACAGACATGAAGGAAGCAGATCTCATGTACCATTTGTGAGAAATATTACAGTAAGAACTTACTTATGATTATTTCACGCACGCACGCACGCACACACGCACACACACACAGACACACACACAGGGCACACATTTAGCTTTGCATATCTGTTTTTGCACGCAAATGTGACAGGATACATGTTAATATCCACTGCTGTTTGGATATCTGTTATGTTAATGTACAAAATAAACCAGATTTAATGTCCCAAACTGGCATTGAAGCGTCTTCTTTTATAATTGTACTGACATGAAGCTGTGGTGATAAAGACGGTAAATTCGTTGTAATTCATTACAAACATGCAGGGTTAAAAACGTTTTAAACTTGAAAAACTTACCCATGACCACATTTGATGATGATGATTGATGATCATAGTGAGCTGAACAGATCTTTTAATCAAAGTTGCTTTGCGTATGTCCTGTCTTATTGATATGATTATACGCGTTACTATGGAGACATATTAATACGCAGCTGTCAATTAATACAAGCTGTCGGTGGGCCTCAAAATGGGAGGGATTTGGATCCTATTTTAACGTCAGGAAAAAAAGAGACTTATTGTTTTTATAACAACCCAGTTCTGACCAAACTGCTTATAAACAATGATTTTCATCTTACAGGTATTGTTTCAATCCTTTAAAATGAGTTGAAACAACAGAATTAGATTTTTTTTTTTTTTGGAAAACCTAATTGTTTTATGTTTAATCCACCTAAATTTATAATAATCTGTGTTGGTACAACATAAAGGAACTAGAACCCAGAATTTTTACAATGTAAACTCTAAAAATAGTAGGTTACAAAATTTGGGTAAAATTCAGACAACCTTAATAGATAGGCTTATGAACTACAAATCCCATCATGCACTTCACACA